GCCAATTGTGGTCTTTTGGACCCCCAGCTACGGATGGCTGTAGCATTTCTTGATTAAGGGCCAACGCTTAGATGGCCACTCAGGAGCCCTGAGACCCCCAAAAGCACTGCCAACAGAATGGGCCCAATCCAGATGAATGGGCCCAATGCCAAGCACCTGCTAGAGGGGTATAAAGGCTGCCAGCATTGGGCTGTGGAGCAGTGGAACTGCGTTCTCTGGAGTGATGGAGCTTCATCAAGTACCTCTGGGATGCGCTGAAGTGATCCAGAACTGGTCATCCAACTCAGTACTTGACCTCACTTTAGATCTTGTGGCTAAATGCAATCAAATCCTCTCAGCAGTGATCCAACATCTTGCTGTTACAGCTGCAGAGCAAACTCCCTATTTATACTCCTGATTATAAATACCATTGATTATATAGTATTGATTACCTTTGATTAATACCACTGTATATAATGTCACAATAATGTGACATAGTTCAAATCTTATGAATGGTAAATGAAACTCACTTCAGCATTTTAAATGCTCACTTTTGTTCAACCAGCAAGCTATACCATATTATCTGGGTTGTATCACTGTGACATACACTGAGCTACGAAGTCTGTCATTCCACCCCATAAAGTGTCATGACACAATCTAATGCCAGAAAATAATTAGTGATATGGACAAATATGACTTTTATTACAAAAAACGCTTATTGGAATATGTGTTTTTAATCGTTTATTTAGGTCTATGTCAGCTGTCAAAAAGGGCTTATGTAGGTGTCATGTAGTCTAATGACCTACAGTCGGGCTTATGTAGGTGTCATGTAGCCTTATGACATACAGTAGGGCTTATGTAGGCATCTTGTAGCCTAACGACCTACAGTAGGACTTACATAGGTGTTATGAAGCCTAATGACATATAGTAGGGCTTATGTAGGTATCATGTAGCCTAATGACCTACAGTAGGGCTTATGTAGGTGTCATGTAGCCTTATGACCTACAGTAGGGCATACGTAGATGTCCTGTAGCCTAATGACCTACAGTAGGGATTAAGTAAGTGTCATGTAGCCTAATGACCTACAGTGGGGCTTATGTATGTGTCTTATATCTTAATGACCTACAGTAGGGCTTATGTAGGTGTCATGTAGCCTAATGACATACAGTAGGGCTTATGTAGGTGTCATGTAACCTAATGACATATAGTAGGGCTTACCTAGGTGTCATGTAGCCTAATGACCTACAGTAAGGTTTATGTAGGTGTCATGTAGCCTAATGACCTACAGTAAAGCTTATGTAGGCATCATGTAACCTAATAGGCTAATAGGCAAAATGTTACCAAGATAATGTTATCTTTGTTGGAATCCCCCAGAGACCCCTTAGTCTCTAGCTAATTTTCTCAGGTAGCGCTACAGCATAAGCTAATTTGCACAATTTGCAGGTTAGCAGGTTATTCTAGGAGCTGATTAATTTGCACAATTTGCAGGTCAGTCCAGTCCACGGGGACCACCAGACAGTTCACATTGTTGTTCTAACTCAGTCCAGCACCGTTGGTTTCCCAGCTCAGACCTGCTAACTAATAGCTGAGCTGAATCAGGTGTGCTCATAAGGCTGCATGCCACCTACAAAAGCCCTTCATGACAGCTGGCATAGTCCTACAAAAGCATTTATAAACACCTATTCTAGGAGCTGATTAGTTGCAAATTGTGCAAACTATTAGCAGGTCTGAGCTGGGAAACCAATGGTGCTGGACTGAGTTAGAACAAAAATGTGAACTGTCTGGTGGTCCCCGTGGACTGGACTGAGACACACTGCTCTAAAATGAAGCTGTAGAGCTCTGATTGACAGGAGCTTTTGGCAGGGGTCATGGCATCACCGCCTGAGTGGGATCGGTGCAGTGTGTGGGCCGCTGGTGGGCTAGTGGCGGGATTACTCCGCTCCTGAAGCCGAAGCATCCCCATCCAGATGGACCCCAAGCTGCCACTGCAGGCGTCCCAGCATGCCTCGCTCACACTACACGGCATACGGTACGCACAATGCCACATTTTCAGCAAAAAAAAAACCTCACAAAACGGCAAGGACGAGGGCCGCCATCTGGTTTTTCCACAAAAAACAGTCTGAACAAAGCCCCATCTAAAACCCACTGTGTGTTTATTGGAAATGCCAAGGCTGTGTGGTCCTATATCCAGGCCATTGTCTGTGTCCACTGAGTGACAGTACGTTTAGAGTGGAATGAAGGGCGAATAGATGCTGAAGTTACATAATCTAAACTTCAGAAGTTAGCATGTAACAGAGGCGCTCAGCATCTAATCCTGATACATCAAAGAGCTTCCCTGAAGACAGAGGATTGGGAGGATCATCTCTCGTCGTAATCACTTCAACAAAAAAAAGATGTTTTTCTTTTTGAAATGAGATATTTCAGAATGAAAGATATTTCTGAAAGCTCTCCAACTGCGTCAGATAAAGTGCGGTGTTGTGAGAAGTTTGTGAACAAACAGAAGTCTTGAGTGAGATTAATTACAGCAGTATTTCCCGATCCTTGCCCTGAAATATCCTTTCGTGTCTGCCTTGCTTTAAAAACACCTACTTCAAGTGATGAAGGATTTGTTCATTTGAATATAAGCCCCTTAAACGCTAGGCTTTTATTCACGTTCATCTATTTTTAAGACTCTATTTGTAATATTTGGCACTCAAATAAATGTATTGTTGGAACTCGAATTTCCAGAAAGTAACTTTACATGAGAAGAAAAAAAATATTTTTAGAGGTCTTTCAGTGTCAGTTAATGTAATTTTGGAAGTCAGGTTGGACCAATTTTATTCATCTGTTAGAAAATTTTGACACAGTATAAATGGCAAGTGGCATTTTTGACCCCTTAGATGGCCAGCACTCAGCAATGGGTCTAAAGTTTTTCTACACACTTCTATAACCTAAGAATAACTTAGCCAGTTTGCATTGTAGTCCATGTAGTTACTGAATAATAAGACTTAGTATGTAACAAACATGGGATTTTAAAGGGGTTATATAAAAAAATTAAAACCATTAAAGATCCAGAAATAAGGTTTTGATCCAACAGCGACAGTATACTGACAAAATCTGGGTTTTGTGGCTGCCCCAGGCTCTGTAAACAGGAGAACAACCCTACTATGACTCCAACATCCCAACAATCAAAACAAGGAGGCATCTCTACACTGTCAATCATGTTGTGCATAGCCTAGGGCAGGTGTTTGCACCCCAAATGTTAAGTAGAGCCATTCTGTCCTTTCAACGAAAATCAAACCACCTTGGAAGCCACAATGTTTTATGTCCATTTCACCATGTTGTCTGTAAATATGTCTCAGTATGTGCTAATGTTCCAGTATTGGCTGTAATATAATATAAACTCAGACTTACTCTGCTCTGCTTTAAGCTTTACCTCAGCTAGAGCCACTTTTCTCGCATCTCCAGCAGGAAATTCTTCAGCAAAAGTAGAATAGTTTACTGTAAAATGTTTCTCAACATTCAACTTTATACGAAGCTGAAGTCGCCAGCTTCTTGTTAGAATTTTCCTGTTCCACCTTAAATGGTCCTTGAGGTGCCAGAATATGACTGCTGCACCATTTAAGGTGGAACGGGAAAATTCGAACAAGAAGCTGGCAATCAAGAAGCCGATTCAGCCTCCTGACATTTTAGTGTTTGACAGTTTATCGTTCTAGACTAAACATATCCGGAAACCAGCTGGAGAGATTATAAATGAAAATATGTCCATTCATCACCAAATTATTAATGTTAGTCTTAAATCTTTCTCTTTGCCTTTTCGTTAGCTACTAGCTAGGTGAGACTGTTGTCTGTTGCTATGGTGACCAGCAGTCTGCGCGCCGACCTCCAGGGTTGAAGTGTGAATTAGCAGTTATACATTAACTCCAGCATTTAAGACCATTAATTGTCAAAACTGTGTTGAAGGATCAGTAGAGCTTTATTTTACTGCAAAGGAGGATTATTTTAGTTTTACCTACAAATCTAGTTCTGCAGTGGAGCTGCAACAGGACAGTAAAAGAGTCGCATGTTGCTGACCCCCTACCCATTGCCTAGCCTTAGCATTATATAGCAAGCTAGCTGTGTCTATACAGTTTAGACGCCCTGCTACAGGTTAACACCAAAATTGCCAATTCTGCCACTCCTTAAGGTGCTGCTTTAGCTGTTATTTGCAAAGCAGAATGGGAAAGTGGTTGGTTCCTAAGCACTCTTAACTTGATGTTACTTTTTTATTCATATCATTTCACAGGGTTTTTGTTTTAACATGTTATTCTTACTACAAAGGTATGTTTAAGTGTATTTAAAATGTTTTATTATATTATTTATGACAGAGGTTCGTGTTTCAGTGAAGTAGTTCATCCTTTAATGTTATAAATAATAGATATACTGCTGTCTTTGTTGTCCTAATGACCGCTATAAGTGCAGTCACTGCTGTAATGTGATGTTCAGTTCACTTTGTAATATGGTCAAACTGGGGATCCTTAGACAGCTGTGGGTGCCTGTTAGAGCACATACAAGCAATACATTAGAAATACAGGAAAGCAGGAAAAAGCAGTATATATACAGTAATCAACTGTATTTAGAAATACAGTAAAGTGCTGTTATTGTATTATACAGTTTGAGTACTGTAAATAAACGGTAAAATGTTGCAGAATATGCTGCCAGTAAATTACTGTAATTTTACACTGAAATTTTTAGAGTGCATAGACTGCATGGGCTTGGGAGTGAGTATGTAAATCTAGTTTTCAGAGATATGGGCCCCTTTAAGGCTTATTATCCAGTAACTACAATTGATTATTTGGTAACTACTATGGTAAAATGTATAGTTACAAGAGTAAAGCATATAAGTCTGGACTTATCAGGGGATCCTCAGAGTTTAAGGGGTTGGATCATATGTGTCAGAGCAGGGAAAACACCAAAGCCATGCAGAACAGAGGTACTCCAGGACCCAGACTGAGGGTCGCATTACAGCAAGCAAAAAATAAAAAGACAAGAAATCTCCTCACCACTCTTGGACAGGGGTGGCCTGCCGGCTTTTTCAGCCGACTCTGTGTCTTTGGCCTTGTTGTTGTTGTGAATCGGCGTGTTTTCCTGTCCCTCATGGGGCTCTGGTGTCAAGGCGATGGACGTCCCGTCTGAAAGAGCGTCTCCACCTGCATCCCCTGAGGCTTTCGGGTCTTCCGTCTCTGTTTGGCTGGCCCAGTCCTCCGGCCCACTCTCAGTCACCTGGTCGGGGTCGCCCTGGTGGCTGGGGCTGGCCGTTAACTCGGAGCCACGCAGTGAGCTGGGGCTAGAGTGGAGAGAGAGCGACGCCTCTCCTCCATCTGCCCGTGCTGACACGCGGGGGTGCAGGCCAGCGGGCTCTTGGATGAAGCCAGCAAACATGATGCCCTGATCTGCTGCATCCTGAATCTGCTGGAGGTAGACAGAAATCCACCAGATGACACTCTACACACAAAACTGGTTGTAAATGTTGGTCTCCAAATTCTAACTAATGGACAAAAATTCACCGCAAAGCAGTAGTATAAAACAGACAGTTCCTTTCATTAAATCCGATTTAAAGCCGTTGTAAAATCTTCGATGTACCCAAACCTATGGCACCTCACAACAACTGAATTGCATATTACTGCATCACAGCACTAAAAAAACCTTGTGCTCTTAATGGAATAATCTTTGACTGTCGTGCTCCTCACATGGACCACCGAGTGCACTGATGATGTAAGAACCCATTTTTTGTTTAAACTGAGGGTCTGGCGACTTATTTTCTTAAATAGAACTGGGCTGGTCAGCTAGCTAACAGTCTAAACATTCAAGATTCAAGAGTTTTATTGTCATATGCACAGCAGAAACAGGCAGTTACACTGTACAATGAAATTCTTACTTTGCTGTTCCTCCAGTCACCAAATATAACCTTAATATAAAGTAGAAAAAAATAGAAAATAGAAGAATAACACTAAAAAAAAAAGTCAAAAAGTACAGTTATGTGCAAAGTTGAAAGAAAAATTAAAGTTGCATGTGTGTATGTGCAAGACAGCAAACAGCCTAAACAGCTTCATAATTAATATCACAGGCCAGAATTAAAGCACTTACGGTATGATTAACTGTAAAACGGCAGTATAAAAGTCTGAACAATGTCATTTAAATGGATTACACGCTTCAAATGATCATAATTCAGTCAGAAGCAGCGTCAAACCCAGGCTGAATCCCAAACGGCTCTGTATTCCCTAAATATTGTGCTAGCTATGAAATTTTGGATATTCTAGCCTCTAGAGCCAAATAGTGCATCATTTATCGAGTGTGGATGTGTATCAAATGACTATTTCTTAGCTATATTTTGCATTGTTGGGGTGCAGGATCTAGTATTTAAATTCCTACGTAGTGCACTATGTAGGGAGCAGGGAACCATTTAAGAGTCTGCCCCAGCACGAGAAGAGGGGCGTCGCTGGATTGGTGCTAAATAAGACTCAGTGGTAATTTGGTAACCATAAAGTACTTATAAAGCAAAAGTTTTTGTATTAAACAGTGCTGTGTTACCATATGTTCACTGTTATATGACAAAAAGTTAAAACATTCAAATTTAGTTACAGCAAAATTAGAGCAAAATTAGTCCTGTTTAACTGGATTTAGTGCCAAATATTGAATAAAAATAATTGTGTTTGCAGTTTTTGATAGTATATGTTATTTAATGTAACACTACTGGATCTTTTTTTCTCTGTTCCAGCTGATCAGATGTCTGAAAAAGCTAAATAATTTTAAATATTCTTGATGTATCGCGATATTTCATTCTTGCCATATCATCCACCTTTATTGTTAAGTTTATTTAAAATGGAGCATTTCATATCAAATCACTATGACTGACTTTAACATCTTCACCATTTAATCATGTAGAAATTTTGAAAAATCAATGGAATTCCCCTTTAACAATGCTACACGATTTGAGATGAAGATGCAATGACTTGGCTGTGCAGTTTGCACAATGCTATGAACGTTGGATACCAAATATATCTCGGCTGATTGACTACATGTTACATTTGACTACATTTTCACTGTCACCTTAATGGACAAGATGGCCCAAATAGCCCATCTGTTAATGCACAGTTTGTGCGAGCCATCCTCTATGTCTTCATTAGTGGTCTGTTTCTAACCACAGGCTGGATATTTTTGTGTGGAGGATGACTTTCAACATAATAGCGACACTGACATATGTCAGGCTATGGTCTGTAATTGCACACCTTTGCAGTGGACCTATGAAGCAGATGGACCTCAGAGAGTGGGCAGTAAGTGGAAGAATAAGAGAGGATTTTCTAATAAAGAGGATGAGGTGGGTATGTCAGTACATGAGAAAGTGCAAATGTCGTTTTAAAGTGCTTGTCTTGGTTCTTGGTTAAGATTCATTCATGATTCAACATCAACATTGTGTCATTATGTCATATTAGAGACAAAATGAACTACAAAGTAGGATGCATAACATGCTGTCATTTCAACCTTATGTCAATACAAGGCCATCCAGCTTCGTAGGTGACATCAAATGGACAAAAGCAACACTTATGACTGCCGACATCAACTGGAATTGTCCTTTAGAAAGCCTTATGTACTTTTACGCCCCTTATTATGAAGGGCCTACGCAGGTGTCATATAAACTTATGTGTAACTGTTGTGAATAAAGTCTGTCAGCTTTGTATATAGCAAAAAACGTCAAGCTTGAATAACACTCCACATTATTCCCAACAATCGCACAATGTCCAAAACAATTATTTACAAACCCAGCTGCCCCTCCCTTCCCGGAACAGGCTATTCAGTATTAACGACGTCTGATTAGAATGGCTGCGGTCCACGAGGGCTCGCCATGCTCTCCGCATCGCGAAGAAAAAAAAACGACCGCGCGCGTCTGCCCCTTTATTGTCAGTTAGCATTCGGAGGCCAATATTTGAATTCTCATCAAATGAAATTGAATTGTTAACTGTCAAGGAATGCTAATGATGCCATTTTCCATTCTGCTGCTTTAATAAAAGCCAGCCCGAGGCCTCAGACGCCGCTATCTCCGCCTGATGCCTCCGCCGACAGCGGGAGAATCACTCTGGCGGGATGCGCCAGTTTATTCTGTCGAAAATTAAACCACGGAACAGGGCCCGTCCTTTCCAATTGCATTGTTTAATACATATTGAACATTTACGCCCAGGGTACTGTCATTATATTCTCCAACAATAAGGCAAATGAAATTGCAGAGATAAGAAACCATTCCTCTATCGCTCTTCGGGGGTGATAGTAATTCCTTCGTCAGAGAAAGGGCAGTGAATCATTTCCGTCTTTTTGATGCGGGCGAAGGAAGATTGATGTGCTAACGCTTCATTGAGATTAATAACGCTGAAGATATGCACATCAGAGCAGCGGGTTCATGCAGATACCCAGCCATAGTGGCCCCCTGCTTTCCAATATCAATCCATTCAGGGGATGAACGATGACTGTGTGGATTCAGATTACTGTTTTACGCTCATTCATATGGACAACGCGTCTGGATCTGATACAGGAAGTGGACGGGACAGCTGTGGGTGGTGCCAAAAGGAAAAAAAAAAGGGAGGCTTACTTTCTTCACGTAGCCTTGGATGTGCTCTGGGGTGGGGGTATGGTCAGCACTGAGGCACTCCTCCAGTTTCAGATGGTAAGGCTCGAAGTCTGCTGGACTCTTCTCGGAACTAGAAATGAAAAAAGGGAGAATCATATGTTACTGTATTTTATCTTGGATTTGTGGGTTCAAATAGAGGTGGGCAATGTGATGATATGTTGCCATTATCGTGATAAATTATATCACAATATGCTTTTTTTTTTTTTTAGTTTGGGTCACACATTCCTACAGCTCTGAAGTGTCCATAAACTCCATCTCCCAGAACCCTTTGGGAGATCACGTGACTGATGACGCTCTCTTATTAACTCTTATTAAAGTTAGTATAAAGTCCAGGCTTTTAGTTTAGGTTCCTTGCTAGGCATAATTTCTGCTTGCGAGAACTGCTGAGCATTTTTGTTTCTTTGCTGTTTGTCTTTTTTCGATCTTGCCTTTGGACTCTTTGACTTTGCGTTCTGTCTTGTGCCCTTTAGATCTGGTTGCCTGGTTTTGTGATGTTTATCTTTCTTTGTTTTTTGGCTTTTCTGGATTTGATCTTTGCCTGTTCATCGACACTGAGTTTTAAAGATACTGAAATGAACCTGCAATGGTCAAAATATGATGAAAACAACAAAACAAAATTACACAATTTCCTAAAAGACCAGGGCCCATAGGCAGGCCCAAAGTTTTATTACAGTTCTATAAGTTAATCTATAATTTCATTGCATTGAAATCACAATATTTACTGAATAATAGACCTTGGTATGTAATAGGCTTGTGATTTTAAGGGGTTAAGAAGCATTTCTTCAGACATCTGGTACCTATCACTATCGCTACAAACAATTCTGGCTCTGTAAGTTTCTCTAGAATGGCACATTTCACACCAAAACATGCTGAAAGACTTTTTTTTACATCTCAACCATTTTATTTTGCAGACATTTTAAAAAATCAGTGGAAATCCCATGACAAAAATATTATATTCATATATTGCATTCAATATTCTTTTTTAGAACTTGCCACTGTGTTTTGCTGTTGCATTTTATTCAGTCCAGTGTTTTTACAAAACAAAATATTGTGTTGCATGTTGTGTATCGTGAAGTATTGTGATGTTTTTGCTCTGTTGCCCACCTACAGGTTCAGAGTATGCATTGATCATGTATTGCTTATCAATTTTTTCTAAGTTATTAGAAAGTCTGCCATATGGGTGTACAATTACAGACTGTAGCCCATCTACTGCTGCACAGTTTATCAGGCCCCCTTTGCGTCCTTGTCAGTTTCTGACCACAGGACTGCTATTAACCAAATGTTATTTAAGTGGTTGCCCATTCTCAGTCACTGCTAGGTTGAGAATGGCCACCACCCAAAAATATCCAACCTACTGACTACTGATGAAGGGAAGGTGGCTAGCACAGGATGTGCATCAACATATAAGCTACAGGGTTTAGCTGTACAGCAGCAAGGTAGGGGTTTCTAATAAAGTGGCCGGTCACATATATAAAAGTGTATTTCTGTGCTGTGTTGAAAAGCTCAGTCCACAGTCATAATTTACTGGACACTAATTCATAAACCACATTGTCTTAGCAGTGGCACCAATTGAGCAAAACATATTCCAATGGAAGTGTTCTACACCTTATTTGCTGGGTACTTTACCACACTGCATAGACTGGCATCAACAGAGCATTCACAAAAGTGCTAGACTTGTACTTCCGCGAGCAAATTTTCTATTCTCCTCCCTTCTCCAAGAATGGCTCTTTGTAAGAGGCCCTTTACAAGTGTCTGTTCTTCAAAGGCAATTCAAAAGCTTCATAAAAGACACGAAACCGTGCAGCTTGATAAAACATGGGCTGTGCATAATTCAGTGGTATGCATTTACAAATGCAGACAAACACTGGCATTATTTAATAAAAGGATATAAGAAGCTCGCACGCATCAGATACAGATAACTCTGTCATCTGAGTGAAGGAGAAAAAAAGAAAACAGAAGCTAGCCAAGTCAAAATTCTCCAGCTTAGCGTCTTCCGAGCCCTGTTTCTCTCTTTCTTTGGAGGACATGTACATTTAACTTGTACGGGGGCCCACATCCTCCCTCCATCCTGTTGACAACAGACACCCACCCGCCCACACCTCGGCTCCCTCTTCCTTTCCCCGTGTTTGTGTCTGTGAAAGCCAGACAGGATAGAGAATTCAGCCCACTAGCCTAGATATTCCCGCTACACAGCCCAGCAGGAGCCAGGCTCACCTCGGCCTCAGATCCACTGCAGGCAGAGATTCACACCTCCTGCTGACACACGGCCATCTGCTGCCGGAATACAGCTCTGCTCATGTTGCTGTGTGACCGAGTCCCTGGACGCACACTTAAACATGCTCCTTCAGCCTTCACACTTTCACTGAGTCAGAAGGTGAAGCCAGGCTAATCAGATTTACCCAAAACGAAGCGAAGAGGACCGGTCCCAAAAGCAACACAGCTTCATATAATGCGAACATGAAAGCGAAGGGATCATCTCTTTTGCATAATGCTAACTGGGAATTTCTAGCTTAACACTGTTATTAGCATTTAGCCTATTCTTTTAACACCTTTAGTTACCTCAGGTGAGCTGCTACTAATCAAACATTCACTGAGGTAAAGTTAGAACGTAAAGTAGGACCGAAATAAAAATGAAATGAGACCTGTTTCAAAGTAATCACACCTTAAAGGAATTCCTTACCAATAATGGTAATAATCATCTCTTTCGCAGAATGCTAATAGGCAAAGCTTAGCTTAAATATGTTATTAGCATTTAGTCTCTTCTTTAAAATACCTAAACAACTTTATCCAAAACTATACAATCTAGACTGGTTTCAAAGTCATCACAGCTTTTTAGGAATACTACCAAATATTGGGAAATGTAGTGAAAGCTGATGATCATCTCTTAATGCTAATGCTCTCATAGCGCTAGCTAGCTCTTACTGGCTCTGTTATTAGCTTTTAGCTTGTGCTTTTAAAGGAATATTTGGGCAAAAAGTCAAGTTTACACAATTTCACATGTTAGCCCAGATGTAGATGATCAGCCAAGACTTGTTTGTTTTCCACATTTTGCTTCTTTTGTTTTGTATTGGAGCTATAAGGATAATATCAAACACTACTACAAGTCAATAGTCACCCAAAATATTTTCTGTTAATACATCCCCAGAACGTCTCTCAACCAGCTCAAACCGCATCCAAGGTCACACAGACTTGTCAGTGTGGTTTTGTGAGTTATGTAGCTATATTAACAAAACTTTATCTTGTAGCTGAACGCAGGAGCAGACATTTTAGACAACATAACAAGTCTGCGCAGCCTGATAAAGACCTGGAAACGATTCAAGCAGGTTGAGAGGTATTCTGGTTAGCAATGTTAGCCTCATAGCTCTGGCACTAAAATAAGCAAAATGTTGACTCCAAAGATGTCTTAGCTGATGGACTACATCATATGAGTATGTGGAAACTGGGGTAGAGTAGATTTTTTTCGCTAAATTATTTCTTTAAATACTTTTAGTTACCTCATGTGATCTACTGCTTCACACATTAATGGGACTAAATACATTTACTCAACATGAAACAATATATACCTGTTTCAAATTCATCACAGCTTTAAAGATACCTCTCTAAATAGTGCTAACATGGCTAGCAAGTTTAGATAATCTCTTTTTGTGTAATGCTAACTGACTCCTACTAGCTTGAATACAATGCTGGTGTTTAGCCTATTCTGTCAAAGAGCCAGGGAACATAAATCTGTGTTTTCTTTCTAATTAGGTTAATCTTGTTATTGCAGCAAACAGTGAACAGGTACCCAGTTTACCCTGCAAATAATGTTCTAATAACCAATAAATATCATATATATTTCACCATATTTCTCTCCTCTTGATGTAAACTGGGCAGTCCTGCTCTTTTGTAAGCATCCCCCTGTCCAATCACAAGGCTGATGTTCGTTTATTCATATGCCAACATTGTTCATTTGTCCGTTCGTCTGCACGTCTGTTCGTCCGCGACTGTTTTCGTTCAGTTACCGTCACATAAAAGCTGATTAATGATTTTAGTCCTGTATGAGGGGCAGAGCAGGCTTGGAGTGTTGGACAGAGAGCTGTCAATCAAGCTGCTCATTAGCCATGCCCACACAGTTCTCAGGTCTGAAAAGTGTTTTTTAAGACACAATTTATCACATTTATATCTTATATTTTCATTCAAGCTTTGCTAGATGTTTAGTACAGCACTCAAGTTTAGTATCATACAAACATTTTAAATATTTTACTCTGTGCTCCCTGGGACTTTAAGCTGCACCGTGTCTGATATCGGCTTTGATTATCTTTGGTATTTCACACTGAAGTAAGGTTCACTGAGGCACAGTCAAAAGGGGGAACTTAGCTGAATAAATTTACCCAAAATGAAATGATCTAGACCTGTTTCAAAGGTGTCACAGCTTCACAGAATACTTCCCTAAATAATGCTAACATGGCCAGCAATGAAAAGCCAAGGAGGAGAACTGTTTTTGTGTAATGCTAACTGGCTATTACTAGCTTACATTTGTTTTTAGCATTTAGCCTATTCACTAAGTGAACCACTGAATCAAATATAGCTAATTGCTTGTGTGCTGCTGCTCCAAACCTAGATAGGTTATGTTTTAATGCACATTGGTCTTATTTCTCGGCTCTTGTTTGTTGGGATTAAGAGTGCCAAGCCCTGATCAATGTATGGAAGCTGCTAGGATGTTAGGAGGTTTGTAGTCAGTTCAGTTTTTGACTTTTTTTAGTCTTTTTATCCAGCAAAATCACAGCTGGGTAACACCACTGGCAAATGTCTGTTTGCCTGCAGCTGATCTAAGTGCGAGTGTTTGTGTCTTTGCCTACAGGACTCAACTGATCCTGTCAGACAGACACCATAAGCAACGTTTCTGGGTCTTGAGGTGGCATCCTGCTGTGTGTGTGTGAGTCTGTGTGTGCACACATGTGTGTCTTTGTGCGCCTGTTTATGCATGTGCCCCCTTGTGCGTGCGCCTATGACCGCATTTCCATGACAACGTCGTCACCACAGGTCCATTAAACCCGTGTTTCACAATCTTTCATCAGTGCATTAATTATG